GGCGAACTTCGAGAGCGTCGAGATGACTTGCGCCACTTTCGACAACGCGCGCCTCGCCGAGACCAACTTCAAGGTGGACGCCGAGATCGGCTCGAGATCTCTTCCAGATCTATTCGAGACCTCATTCGAGACCTCGTTCGAGATCAGCCTCGAGCACGTGTCTACCCTACCTTAGGACGCCGTGGCGGCGAGGGCGAGCTTCGTGCGCGCGGAGCTGGACCGCAGCTCCTTTGAAGCGACCGTGCTACCGCACGCAAACTTCTCAGGCCCGCTCTCGCGCGTGCATTGCGCCCTGCCCCCGCCGCCGCCCTCCGCCTCACCCTCGCCACCGCCCCCTGCACACCGCGAGTGCCTGGGGTGGCTCGTTGCCGTCCCAGGTCCCACTCACTCCCCCCGGACGTGGAGACGCGGCGAGCGGCCAGGCCCTTGCCCCGCGCTGTCCGGTGTGCGTGGAGCAGACGTGCGCCCTCCCTCCCTCCCCCGCAGGGGCGAGCTTGCGCGAGGCGAAGCTCGAGTACTCCAGCCTGCGCCACACGACCTTCGACGGGGCGGACCTCTCCAGCGCCAGCTTCGTCGAGAGCGACCTCAGCCACGCGAGCTTCTTCGGCGCGACCGGCGTGTCGACGGCCCGGTTTGACCGCGTGCTGGGCATGAACACCGTGAAGGGTCTCGACCGCAAGACCCTGGCCGCGGCGCTCCTCTTGCAGGGCTGAGTACAGAGAAGAGAGAGAGCGTAAACGCTCTCCCTGTTCAAAAGTGGGCATGTGTGGAGATACGGCAAGCAAGTCATCACTTGGCAAGTCTGAATAGGGTCTGAATGGCAGAGCAGCCCATGTTACCATCACGCCGAGGACCAACCCTCTGATTCGCGCGTTTGCAGCGCGCACACACGATGGGGCGTGGGCGTTCGCTGAAAAAGTAGGTAGGTAGGTAGTAAGGTGAAGAACAGCCAGGCTCGGACTGGACACCAACGCGGTATGGGTGGACGCTGGAGAGCCGAAAAAGAATAACTTCGATAATGAATTCGTGTTCCCCTCTCAGCCCCCCCCGCGGCGCCGGTGTGGCCGGTGTGTGCTTGTTACGTGAAAACCCGCTGGGACCCGGACGCCAGCACACCGGTGTGTGGCCGGTGCGTGTGGCCGGTGCGCCGCACCCCCGTGAAGGCTCCGCAGGCAACATGAACGAGGGCCTCAATGACCTCCATGTCTCGCAGCGCCGGACCGAAGAGCTCGACTGGCGCGATGCTTCATCCGAAGAGCGCACAGCCATCTCTCCGCGCACCAGATGGCGGCGTCAGAAGACCCCCACGACCTTGCGTCCGGACAAGGGCGTCCACCTCGCGACCGTCGCGCCACATGTTGCATACCAGAGAGTGGCTCGCGTCCGCGAAAGGGCTGGCGAGGCTGCAGCGTTCGTCGACTTGGACGGCACGTGCATCTCCGATCGGTGCAAGCGCATGCTACCATTCTATGTGCTACAGGCCCTGCCACTGCACGCCGCCTCTTGGCGTGCTATCCTGCTCGTCTACTGCCTCGTGTTGCGGGTCCTGAACCTGCTCGGAGACGACGACTTTGTTCGCATCTTCCTGGGCGGCGTGAGTGTCGACGTGCTGCGCTCGGCAGGTCATCGTGCGGCTGTCATGATGTCCAGGAAGGCGCATGAGCCGGTGCTGCGGCAGCTTTTCGCGTTGCAGCGTGCGGGCGCAAAGATTGTCGTGGTCACGGCCAACGCGCGGCCTCTCGTCGAGCCATTCATCGTTGACGTGCTCCGCTTCTCTCTGCCGCCGGGCGCCGCGACCGAGCTGGCGGTCGACGCAGAGGGCCGAGTGCGTCGGGACTCGCCGGTGCAGGGCGGGTGGAATGTCGACGGCTCGAAGCAGAAGCTGGTCGAGACGCACATCGCGGAGCACGGCATCAGCTTCTCGATCGCGTACGGCGACCAGGCCTCCGATGTGCCCATGCTGCTTGCGGTTGATGAGGCGACGGTCGTCAACCCAAAGAAAGAGCTGCATCTGGAGGCAGACCGCCGCAAATGGCAGATCCTGACGTGCCGCCCGAGCGAGATGCACTTTGAGACTTCTCAGCACGAGGCGCTGAGGGTGGCGATCATCGGCGGTGGCTGGGCCGGCCTCTACGCGCTCAAGCACTGCCTGCAGCAAGGCTTGGACGCGATCCTCCTCGAGAAGACGGACGCGTGCGGCGGCTTGTGGGTCTACCGTCCTGGTGGCGGTGGCGTCTTCGCCAACACGATTGCCACCGCCTCGCGTGGCTACATGCAGGCGAGCGACTTTCCGTTCAACGAGAACCTACCCGAGTTCCTCGGGCACAAAGACTATCGGCTCTACCTCGAGCAGTACGTGGCCGAGTTCGGGCTGGGCGCTCACATCCGGCTGAACAGTCTGGTGACGGCCCACATGGTAGAGGAGACGGCGGACGGCAAGCAGCGGCACAGGCTGACCATCGAGTCAACATTGAGTCCAGATAACAAGTCGACCATCGATGAGAAGGATGCGCAGAAGGATCCGAGGGACGATGCCGAGAGCCTGCGAGAGGAGACCTGCCCCTCTCAGCTCACCTTCGATCGGGTGATCGTCGCCACAGGCCGAGAGGTGCCGGTGATCCCGCCCCTCTATGGCGGCTTCACGGGCACGACGCTGCACTCGTCCGTGTACACTGAGGTCGACCAGCGCTACCGCGGCAAAAATGTGCTGATCGTTGGCGGCGGCGAGTCGGCCTCTCACATTGCCGAGGAGATTTGCACAGTCTCCAGGACGTGCGTGTGGTCGATTCGCACGGGCGTCTGGTTTCAAGATCGCCACGCGGGGATGCTCGCCCCTGCGGACATGCGCTTTGGTCGGTTGGCGCGCATGCTCATGGGCAACCAAGTGGATCGGTTTGGCGGCCTGTTCAACCCTGGCGTCGTCGGCCTCACAGGCTTCGGCTGGGGTCCTGGCGGCTCGGGCGTCGCCGCATGGCAGCCAATCGAAGACAACGTGATGAAGTCGTGGGCCAACAAGGATCGCAACTTCCTGTGGCACCTCTCTACGGGCCGGCTGAAACCCAAGCGCGCTGTGGTCAGCGTGAGTGGCTCGATGGTCGAATTTGACGATGGGGAGAGCCTCAGCTTTGATGTGATCATCCTGTGCACCGGCTTCAAGGCCAAGTTCCCGCCACGCGAGCCGCCGCTCGAGAAGCACACCTGGTACAAGCATGTCTTCTCCTGCGAGGATCCGAGCACGGCGCGCGTCGGATTCATTCGCCCTACCATCGGCAGCGTGCCGGCAATGACGGAGATGCAAGCGCGCTGGGTGGCTGCGGTGTTCGCAGGCGAGAAGCGCTTGCCCGCTGAGGCCGCAATGCGTGCCACAGCGTCTGCAGACGTAGCGCGGCGGGCTGTCCAGTTTCCGCACCACCACTACAAGATGCCGACGCTCGAAAACTTTTGGAACTACACCGAGGAGATGCACGAGTTGCTCGGCTGCCGACCGACCGTGTTGAGGGTGGTGATGCGCCGAGGGCTCAAGGGGCTCAAGATGTGGATCAAGGCGACGCCGAACACCTTCGAGTCGCTGCTGCTCAATGCGGACGATGCACTCTCTGGCTGGGCGTTTGGTGAGCTCGAGAGGCAGCGCGTTAGCTACAAGAAGGCTAAGTCCGGGCTCTCCGTCCACAAGACTGCCGAGGTGGGGCATGGCGCTAGTCGGATGGTCTTCGCCTCCGCGATCCTGCCGCTCCTCTTCAAGCTTCTCCTGCTCTCGTGGGCCCTCATGCTGTGCTCGCTGATGCTGCGGCCCTCGACCGTGATGGAGTTTGAGACCTGAGGCTGCGGAGGTGACGCCTGAGGTACCGGCCCGTGCACAGCGACTCAGCCGGCGACCGCCACGGGCTCAGACGAGACTTGTCGACTCGTTCCGGCTCAGCTTCACCGTGGTCATCGGGCGTCTGTCGACGTCAGGACCACCCATACAGCTCGCGGGTTTGAGGTCGCAAGAGCCAAGATGGTGGCGTTTGGACATCCCAACCATCACACAAGACAGCCCGTAGGTGATGGCGGGACGGCGCAGTGTTTGTGGCACTCGGCAGTAGGCACCCGCGGCACGGCCCCGCTGTCGGCTGCTCGGCTCTCGCGGGCTGCGGAACCGGCCCCAGAAGGGGACGGTCCGGGCGAGTGTGGCAGCTCCTGCGCTAGTATGGGCAGCCTCTATCACAACACTACTGATCCTGGTCATTAGAGCTGCCAGGGGTAGCGTCAGGAGCCGGTAGGAGTCAAAACCCCTCATATTTGAGACATCGTGTCCCATATACATTATACTCGTGCAACAAGCCAACCGCAGAGCGTCGTGTTGCCTTTGAACATTGAAAACTGAACAGTTTATTCGCTACAGGCTCCTCCACCAGGACGGGCCACCACTGCTCGCCGGGGCCACAGACAGTTTTGACGGCGGCGCGTCCGACGCGGCTGCTCTCAAGCCCTGTCCGGGCGGGTAAGCACTGGCGGGGGCGGCGAACCCGTCGGAGGGAGCGTCGCTCACCACGGGAACAGCGGCCGGGGGCACGCCCCCAAACAGGCGGTCAAACGTCGAAACCTCGCCGCCGCCGCCCTCCCCGCCGCCGCCCCCGTCGCCGCCGAAGAAATGGTCAAGCGACGCAACGGGGGGCGGCGCCATCGCTGCCGACGCGGCGCCGGCCCGGCAGCAGCCGTCGTTTTGAGCGACGTACTTGGGGACTGCGGCGGCGGCGGCGGCGGCGGGTGCGGCGGCGGCGGCGGCGGCGGGTGTGGCGGCGGCGGCGGTGGGGCCGGCGGCGACGGGCGGAGCGGAGACGGGTGCGGGTGCGGGTGCGGGTGCGGGTGCGGTGGTAGCGGCAGCGGCGGCGGCGGGAGCGGTGGCGGCGGCGGTGGTAGCGGCAGCGGCCGCAGCCGGAGCGGTGGCGGCCGCGGCGGCGGCGGCGGCAGGAACGGCCGCGGCTGCCGGACCAAGCCGGCGGCGGGAGTGCCAAGTTCCCGCCGAGCCCCGCCAAGACTGAGCGAAACTGGGCAAGATTGCGCCGCCGAAATGGGGCGAAATCGTAAGCTCGCGGTGGGCGCCCCTCAAGTCGAAGGCAACCAATCCCCCCTGTTTCCGCGGCCCGACTTGTGAACCGGCGCCCTCTTCGCGCCCATTTTCGGGGCAACGGGGAAACGAGGGAAAGGGGGGGGTTGGATAGGAAGCAAAAAGAAGGGGGGGGGGGT